TGGGTTTGGCACGTCGTGCCCCCCCCCCCCCCCTCCCCCGCTCGCCCACGTTGGTACGGCGGTGATGCGTCCGTCATTAGTAGAGAAAGTCGATGTACAATCCATTCACTGTCTCGACTCGTGTTTTCTCCTTGGTTCCCTGTTACCTTCCCCCCTCCCTCGCTGACAAGGTGCCCAATGACTTGCTGGTGGCGCACGCGGAGAAAAGGGTCCTCCAGGGGGCGTTGGAACGGGCAAAGAGCGACGCCGCCGATGTCGAGGTATGGTGCCGTTGGAATGGAACAAGGCAGCCAACGGGTACATGTTTTTCAGGTTGACGTGGGTCATTGTTGGTTGAGGGTTGGTTTTTACCCGAGGGTTGGCTTTGAACCGAGGGCTGCTAAGTTTTCGTTCCATGTGTTTGTTCTAAGACGACAGAGGCTGCCCGCAATCTGCTTTGCCCCCTCCCCCAAGGCGGCCACCGCGGCAGAGCTGCGGCGAAGGGACGCGGACGCGCGGAACATGGCCTCGGCCGCGGCTCTCCAGCAGAGGCGGTGCGACGAGCGCTTGCGCGAGCAGGCGCTGACGATCCACCAGCTCACGCTGGAAGGGTTCAGCGCGGAGGCGGCGGCGACCACACGCGCGCAAGAAGCGCAGCAGCAGCAGCGGTGTCAGCAACGCTGGACCGGGCAGCAGCGGCGATCACCTCCCTCGATGATGACCTACGATTCAGCGGCGGCGGCGGCGGCGGGTGTGGGAATGTCGAAGGCGGCGCCCGGGCAGAAGGTTCTCACGGCGCCCCGCCGGGGCTATTACAGCTACGACGACGGCGGCGACCGTGAGGGGAGAGGCGGCGCTACCACTACTTCTCCCCGTCTGCGAAATAACGGGACCCCCGACGAGACCACCGACGGAGGAGGCGGCGGCGGCGGCGGCGGCGGCGGCGGAACTCCTGGCGGTGCCGGACCCGACTTTGGCTATGGCCATCATCACTCCTTGAACAACAGCGGCGGCGGCGGCGGCGGCGGCGGCGGTAGTGGCAGCTGCGGGCAGAAGGCGTGGGCGGGGCATTCCTTGGACTCGGAATATCCCCCCCGACAACGGCGCTCCTCCGTGGCGGCGAGAGGGGGTCACGTATACTGTCACGACGGCGGCACCCCTGGCGAACACCCGCAGCGCACCCGGGCAAGAACCGAGGACGAGGGAGAGAGGACGACGACGATTAGTTGTTTCGCGTCGTTTCCTGGACCGGAATTCAGGGCAACCCAGGCTGGGTTTGCACAGCAGCGCGATGGTTAGCTGGGGCAGCGAGCGAGAGAATGGTGTTAGTTCTGGCCGTGTAGGGGAGGTGGTACCAGAGGGAAAGGCGGTCTCTCTCGGTGTGAAAAACAAAGCGTTTCACACGGAAGGTATACCTCCGACACAGGGCTTTGTAGTCTTATTTTGTGGGGGAGCCACGCCGGCTTTCGAAGCGTTGCGTCAATACGAGGGCCTATATTGTGCCGAGGTGTGTCCCGAGGTTTTACCGGCGCTATATCGGGCATCGGCACTTCTGTATTTTCTTTTCTTTTTTCTCCCATCATTGGACTCTGTCGTCTGCCCCTCTGGCCCCTATCCTCCACTTCTACTAATAGCTAGACGACCCAACCGGGGTCACATAGGAGGGGGGGGGCTGGACCCCCTCCTCCAGTTCATGCCTGAGGTATTTTTATCGCGAGAAGGGCACAGCAATCCCTTCCCTCGCGACTTACGAAGTCGATTATGGTTTACTAACGACCAGCTTTGCAATGCGTCGCTTTCATCGTAGACCATGATTCATTGAGTGAGAAAAAAACTCTCTCTGCCGGGACTCGAACCCATGACCGGGCCCTTACCAGGCTACGAGGTTACCCACTAGACCACCTGGGCGACCGGTCTGTATGTATTCAACCGGCGCTATGTACAATATACAGATGGCGCCCGCACTTAAATAAGAACCTCCAGTTTCAGCCGAGGCTGGGGTTCTTATATTGCCGATCATCCTCTTGTGGGCTACAAACCGCCACTATATAGGTTTTAGTGCAGGGGTTCTTAGATGGACTCGCAATTGGTGCTCAAGTTCTTAGCTTCTGATTTTTTTCGAGTCTCAGTTTCTGAAGTGCGGGCGCTATCTGTATCACACGGACGCTCCCACAATGAAATGCGCACCGAATGGTTGTCATGATGTCGTGACCGGCAAGTCTTAGCTTTGGCGAGAAAGCCTATACGGCAAAGGCGCCCGATGCCCTCAGCTATCCGACAACTGAGTACTTCGAAAGGTGATTGATACCTCGAAGTACATAGTCTATGCATATTGCGACACCGTGCATTTAGACTATTCTTGTACCAAATAATACAGACGTGGTGATTCTTGTCTGCTGCGGGTAGTCAGCGTGTTCGAGCTATGGCACCGCGGAAGGGTTGGGATGGTTGGAATGGTGTGAACTCACAGATCCGGTCCGTTATTATTAGATCTGCTCGCGCTGGCTTGCAGATCGGTTGGTCCACATGGAGGGAAAAACATGAAATAACTCATGTATCCAAATGTGATTTGGTAACACACAGACGTGGTGATTCTCGTCTGTTGCGGGTAGATAGTCAGCGTGTTCGAGCCATGACACCGCTGTGGAAGCGTTGGGACGGTTGGAAGGCTGTGAGCTCACTCACAGGCCCGTTTCGTTATTTTTTTATCCACAGCTCGCAGATCCATTGACAATAATTGGCTTGGTTGGTCTGCACACCTTGAGGAAAAAACGTATAATCATGGTGGGGGTGAGGTAGTACATATCGCGTGCCCCCTCACGAACCCGCTGGGGCGCTTGGGGCATTTTGGTTTTGGTTCGGCAATCCAATTTCTCCGCCCCTCTTCGCGTCTCCGCTCACACGCTCACACAACAACGCTCTGCTTGTGTGGGCGCAGTGGACCCAGAGCTGAAGACGGGATTGACGACAACAAAGCGAGGTGCGTTCGCCGTTTGGTGTCGGTGTCGTCCCTCCCAGTTGGACTTTTGGAGCCAGCTGCTGTAATGCATACTCTATGTCGCAAGCAGTGGAGTGAAGTAGTGTACGCTGCTGTGCACGTCCCGAAGTCTTGTGTGCAGAGCAGCAGCATACCGTACGATGAGAACAAGCCAGTAGAGCACCGTAGGGGAACGGGGGTGTGTGTGTATGCGGTGTGCAGTGTAGCCACATGTAAGAACGCGTAACAACAAGAGGCGTGCGTTGTGTCTGCCACGCACCTCAAGGAATATCCCGTTGAGTTGACATCGGACCGTTTGAAACGCTGCTGTGGGGGTCGTCTTGTCGTCTTTGTGATCCCCGGCGGGCCGGCGGGTGACATTCTTCTGGTTGTACTTCCTTCTTCCACTCGCTGCCTCGGGAAGGTTTTGCGTAGGCATGACCCACAGCGAGGGGGGGGTCTTTCTAGCGAGCAGGGCTAGACTCACCCTCAAGGGACCGATACCTTCTTGCTGCGGCGCACCCGCCGCGAGGCGTGCGTAGTGATGGAGTTGGGTAGGCACTGGTGCGTCAGGTACAAATGCGCGGGCCTCCAGGCCGTCGGTGTAGGCAGCAATGCCCATCTCATCTTTTTGCGCGGAGGCAGACGCCACGAGAAAGGTGGACGGGCACTATGTACACGGCCCTAGGTTTGCTAGAGGGAGCTGTACTGTTCGGGGTGTCAAAGCGGCCGAATTGGGAGCCAAAAAAACGTCCGGTCCATTCGGCAAAATTTGAGGGGGGCACGCGGATGTAGTTCTTTTCTTGGTTCTTGAGAATCCCACTGAATAAACTTATACATCAAGTCAACTTGTTTGTGCAGGCAGCTCTACGTCCAGACAGCAGCATGGCTCTTCATGCGTTACACACACCTGGACACAGGTCCAATAGAGGTGACGGTAGGATAGGTTTTCTCTCAAAAGTTTAAGGGCGGACGAACAACACCAAAAAACATGTTTTTGGGGGCTATTTGCTCCACGCCTAAGGCGACCTTTGCTCCTCTCGTGAAAGCGACCCCACAGCCCTCTACGTGGGGTTTACAGCTATACCACACAACAAACCGCATCCGAATCGCATCAGCCAACCACGAGATCTACATGTCTGAAAGCTGTCCCTCCAGTGGGGCTGCAGCGCCCACACCAGCAGACCCTCCCCCCCCCAAAAAATCGAGGTCCGCGCCGTTCGGCAGCAGGAGGCGCGCTGCGCGAAAGCTGAATCAAAACAAAATGAAGTTTGAAGAGAGGACGGGGCAGTGTATGGTTGCCGCGTCAGCAGAAGATAACACGCGGCGCGCTATCGAACGCGGCAGCCTCACCGTCGTAGAGAGAACGCTGAAGGAAACGAAGGAGGAGTTGGTCAAAAGTAAGAGAATTGTGGAAGAGAGCCAGGCTCAACCTCGCTGCCGCCGCCGCCGCCGCCGCCGCCGCCGCCGCTACTGCTGCTGCTGTTTTTCTCAGCAGCAGCAGCGGCGGCGGCAGGTGTCTGCGTGGCTTCACCGCCCGGCTGCTGCTCGGGTGTGTCATGAGGCATGTGTTCTAGAGTGGGACCGCGCAATGGTGTTGTGCTGTGCCCCATAGCAGGGCGCAAAGCACACAGGCGAGCCGCGCCCTCGCGCGTGTGCGTCAGAGGGTCTTTTCGGGAGGTTCCGACGGTTCCGTGCAATTTCATTGGTTGGTCGATTTTCCATCAGCAAGATCCGAGGACGCTTTTTCGAATTTTTTCCTATAGGAGATATTCCGCTTTGACACCCCTAACTGCCTCAGGAACCTGGTTTTGCCACCAAAGGAGGAGGGGACAGGTGGTGACGAGTTGGTTGGGCTGGTTGACCCTTCGACGCGAGAATTTTCAGACCAAGAACCCTAGACTAAGTTTTGTTGTTTTGCTTCACATTAAACTCGTGTCAGTTGCTAATCCCAAAATCTAGCAAAGACTCGGTCCGTGGTCACAAAAATGCTATCACGGAGGAACATAGTGTTCAGGTCCTTGGCAGTTGGTTGAGCAATATAAGGTCAAATGTTTCGATCTATAATTTAGCTCCAACAAACCGTATGCAACAGGCGGTCATGATGAAAATAAACAAAAAAAAAAGTCGGCGATGCCACAGAGAAACGCCTCATTATGTCATTTTTTACCCCGCGGGGCAGATTCTAGGTATGGCGCGAATCCCAGCACATCTCGGCCGTTTTTTCATGCATGTTAACCCACGATGGCTTGAACGAACCGCAGTGTCAACGCCGTCATCATCAAAAAAAATCCAAAAAACGAAGTTTTTCCCGAAGAGAAATCGCCACATGTGCCGAATTTTGGCCTTGGCGGCGGCGGAAAATTTGGCCCAGGTTGTTTGATATCTCGGGCAAATGGCTGCTTATGTCCACCACCCACAGCTCAAACGGACCGTATCACTGGGATCGCCATGCGAGAAAAGAAATGCTGAAAGAAATGTTGTTGGTGTTAAAAAATTATGATGTATTATCGACCGCAACACGTCAACCTCGCTCGTTGGAGGTTAAGCTGCAAGACGTCACGCAGAACGAATGAAAACATAAAAACTGCCATTCCCTTGGAATCTGCAACATGCAATGACTCAAACCACCACATTGACTTAGGGGAGAGGACCCCTTCGAGACTGCGAAATGTCCAGAAGGGAGCCTGTCCTGAGGGCCAAGTCGTCACGCTGCTGGTCAGCTTGTTGCTCGCGGCCTCTTGCTGGGGCGTACGTGTGTCCGCTTCGGGTCCTTGCTGCTGCTGCTGCTGATTCGCCATCGCGGCCTCGCGAGCGGCGACGGTTGCTTCGCGGACAGCGAGAGCTGCCTCCTTCGCGCGCAGCATGATCGCCAAGTTCGCATTCTCCGTCCTGGCCTTCCCTTTGGCTGTCACGCCGGTCGCAACATAGCTACCCTTCCTTTTGGTCACCATGTGCGCACGTGCAGCCGTAGGCACCAGACCCAAGGTGCCTCTGTTCCGCAGCGCAGTGCTCGGCACCGACATGTTGGATTTCAAAAAGGGGCACGCTGCCCGGAGCGCACACTCTCAGGTTTTCCGAAAAGTTCTGCTTGCGTCGCCAATTCAGAACCAGGCTGTTCCGACTCTATTTCCCAGTGAAAAAATGGCGCTTGAAGTCCCCATTTCCAGCTGCATATTTTGTACGCAATATTGAAATTCTAAGCGCAACTCAGGTATCTACAGAGAGCTGTGGTCATGAGCTTTCTTTTGATCCCACGTGCATACTCGTGCCCTCCTTATGGGTGTCCGAAGATCTGTTCTGAAGGCCACAAATGCATACTGGAGTATATTTTCGGACAAGGCAAAAGAAAAATTTCAGAAAAAAAATTCAGGGCAATTTAGACCTGAATACGGTGTTCCTCCGTACAAATAGAGCCATTAGAAGATCCAAAGAACACACACACTGCTGTTAGCAAGAAAAGGGTACACAAGCCCGAGGAGGTACACCTACAATCCCTGCAGCACGTTTGCGTGCTCACAACTGAACTACATGCCCACACACTGCAATTCGACTACAGCAGCAGCATCACCCCCCTTGTCCCGCATTTAACCAAAATGAATGTTTGTCGACTACCAGAGCGTACTGCTGTCTGAAGTGCTGTCTGTACAATAATAACCCCATGGTGCATGGTACACAAGCTCGGGGCACATGCAGCTGCTGTCTGAAGTGCTGTCAGAATGAGTCCGTGGACATACAATGAATGAGGAACACCCAACCAAAGCCATCATTGCAATTGATATTCACCCGAACGAATCTATCCTGATCATCTGTGTTAGGCACAGCAGTGTAAACATCGACACTGACTAGGAATCGTTCCACATTGAAGGGTCTTCCACGATGCAGGTACACAATTAAGCACCCGGGTTATCCCCGCCATCTCTAACGCGTCTCCTTACAACACCAGTGACATCATCACACGCACCCAACACCTATATTCAGGAAAAAAACGGAAAAATAATTGACAACACAAGAGATGTTTGTCCGTTCGCCACGGTTCGATGCCGTCCGCATGCTCCGGTGTCGCTGCTCCGGTGCCACTGTGGCCAGTCCTAGCACGACCAAACTCGACCCGCTCCGCTTCGTACACGCTCTCGTTGCTGTCCTTCCCAGTCGGTTCCTCGCTTTCTCTCTCGTTGCACTTAGGCTTGGTCTGAAATATCTCGTGCAACGAGAGAGAAAGCGAGGAACCGACTGGGAAGGACAGCAACGAGAGCGTGTACGAAGCGGAGCGGGTCGAGTTTGGTCGTGCTAGGACTGGCCACAGTGGCACCGGAGCAGCGACACCGGAGCATGCGGACGGCATCGAACCGTGGCGAACGGACAAACATCTCTTGTGTTGTCAATTATTTTTCCGTTTTTTTCCTGAATATAGGTGTTGGGTGCGTGTGATGATGTCACTGGTGTTGTAAGGAGACGCGTTAGAGATGGCGGGGATAACCCGGGTGCCTTAATTGTGTACCTGCATCGTGGAAGACCCCTTCAATGCGGAACGATTCCTAGTCAGTGTCGATGTTTACACTGCTGTGCCTAACACAGATGATCTGGATAGATTCGGGTGATTGTCAATTGCAATGATGGCTTTGGTTGGGTGTTCTTCTTCATTGTATGTCCACGGACTCATTCTGACAGCACTTCAGACAGCAGCTGCATGCCCCGAGCTTGTGTACCATGCACCATGGTGTTATTATTGTACAGACAGCACTTCAGACAGCAGTACGCTGTAGTCGACAAACATTCATTTTGGTTAAATGCGGGACAAGGGGGGTGATGCCGCTGCTGTAGTCGATTTGTAGTGTGTGGGCGTGTAGTTCAGTTGTGAGCACGCAAACGTGCTGCAGGGATTGCAGGTGTACCTCCTCGGGCTTGCGTACCCTTTTCTTGCTAATAGTGTGTGTGTTCTTTAGATCTTCTGATGGCTCTAGCATTTTTGTGACCACGGACCGAGTCTTTACTAGATTTTGGGATTAGCAACTGGCGCGAGTTTAATGTGAAGAAAAACGAAACGAAAAACTGGTTACAGAAATACAGAGTGCACGGAGGTACAGTGGTTGGGCCCTCAACTACCCCCGTGAAGCTGCTGGGCACAGACTGAATCGCCGAGTCCTGTGTGTTGAACAGCGCCGTACCCTCTGAATAGCGCCGGTCGATTCGCCGGGCTCATGCCGGCGTTGGTTGAGGGCCCAATTCAAGGACAGCAGCAGCAGCTGTACTATACGGAGTCATAGTTCAGCGTCAGTAGACTACAATGCAGCAGTCACTGCCACAAGGATTTGTGATTACTAGGGGGCGTGGTACGCAACAAGGACGTACGCGATGCCATTGCCTGCAAGCGAGTGTAGTCATCGCGCTTGCTGGGGTGACCGTGGTGACCGTGAGGGGTGTGTGATAACCAGTCTAAGCCTCGTTATTACCGCTTCGGAAAAGTCTTGCAATTTTCCACGGAACGGTGAAAAGAAAACCCGACTTTTCTTCGCTTGTTCTGTTCGTGGTGTCATCGCAAAAAGTACGTTTCCGTCCCTGAATATACGCTTTGCTCGGCACACAACAGGTTGACTTGGTGTTGCTCACCATAGAGCAGCGGTAAAAGCGCAATGAGCAGCACCCGACACGGAGGACAGCACACTTAGAAAGATCCTATCCACCCGGCCTGCTGTTTTCGGTTTTGAGCAACAACAGGCGCAGGGCAGATTGTCACAGCCTGGGTGTTGCTTGCGATTTCTTCAGTTTACCAGCTCATTTATCACGGGTGCGACTCCCATCTTTGACCACCAACTGCCCAAAGGTAGACGAGCTCAACAATCATAGGGCGGCAGCCGCGCTGACGGCCAGCATCATCTAGATGGCCAATCCGAAAGAATAAGCGCGTCGGAGGCCCTGTTGCTCTTCTGCTGCATGGTACCGTGGGTTGATGTTGACGTGTCCGACCAAAAACAGATCATCTCGACGCATTTTTTCCAACGGCATTTTGGTGAGGTGGCACACGTCTCTCACACACCTTTTTGAGCAGCACCCAAGCACCCAATACCCACGAAGCAGCACGGCACCGGGAGGTGGTATCATATAGACAGCCGAACCGAAGGAATCAGCGCGTTGGAGGTCTTGGTGCTGCTGCTGTGCTCGTTCTACTGTTTCCGTGTTCGCTATGTGTGATTGAAAAAACTTCCCCAGCACCAACAGCAGCAGTTGAAGATGAGAGCACAACGCAATGTCTAGTTTTGGACCAAGAACGGACTGAACGCCGCTTCTGCCGCTTTCCACTTCCACAACAGACCTGGATGTGAATCTGGCAGCAGGTCTTTCTAGCGTTCTCAGTGATTGATGTTACAGCGCCCGCGGTGCGCTTGTCCGATGCTTTTGTCAAAAACACGAACCCGTGAAAGTAGCAAGCCCCAAGAAATCCCGGCTCCTTCTTGGCACGTTTTCGGGGAAAAACGCCTCCATATATGGTCGAGAAAAAACGATTCCGTGAAATGTGCCGCGATTTTTTTGGTCGTTTATAATACCCCTAAAGAAGCAACTGGCAAGATGCTGGCTTGGTGTTGTGTACCAAAGGGCACCGGGATGCGGTGAAGATTCAGCAGAAGTGTGATGGCAAAAGGTGAATATCCAGCAGAAGCGTGTGATAACAAAATCAACATCATATCATCGCTCCCCCGGTGCGTTCACTGGCATAACTACGGTGTGTTACCATGCCAGGTATTTGGTAAGCCACATGAGAGCAGATGGCTCCACTCTGCTGTGAATCATTGCATCACGTGCAACCGCTAAGGGCGGGGATGGTCGTCATCAACACCCCGTTGGGCAGACGAGCAAAAAAACAAATACTCCGGAGTGCTGTTGCGTGAAAAGAAATCTCCATCCGACTTCGAACTTCGAACACGATCACACGGCCTGCTGGCACTAAATGAGATATTGCGCCTTTTTTTTTTCTTTTTCTTTTGACTTCACTTAAAATCAGCGCTCACAGCACCGTTGTATGCATAGTGTACATACGTCATTCACACCCCATGGCGGACACTCAAGAAGCCGTACGTCCTACACGCTACAGAAGAATCGCATGCTTTGTTCATGTTGTACGTTGTACGGAGAAGAATTGATTCTACGGCGCCCCGGGCGTTGTGGCCATTCGTCTCAACAGCTCTCGCTCTATGTGCTTACGAAAACAAAATCCAACCCTAACGTCTAAGGCATCTATCTATAATATGAGGAAATCACATCCGTTGCGAGCCTGTCCCGTTTAGGGTTACACCGTTGAGGTGTATTGGGCGTTAAGGTTCTGATCGTTTGTATGTCCTCGACAAAGTTGGAGGTAGTATCGTGGATTCATTCATTGCGGCCGGCCAGGGTTTGCTTTCACAATGTCTGGAGATAGACTGCATGGCATGACTGCTGTACAGCAGTCTCGTCCATTTCTGCCATCGCTGGATCGCCGGATGAAATAATCTCCATTCGACCTGGCGTTGTGCAAGAGCAGTCTGTTGTTGGTTCCATCCGTTCGATTCTCTAGAAGCTGATGATGCCACTCTAACTTTTTCCCCCACCCGCCTCCCTCTCTCTCTCTGCCTCTCTCTCCCTGTCTCTGTCTCTGCCTCTGCCTCTGCCTCTCTCTCTCTTGTCTGTCTATCTCTCTCTCCTCTGTTTCTCTGTTTCTCTCGTTTGTTTCTCTCTCTCTTTCTCTCTCTCTCTCTCCCTCTCTCTCTCTCAGGGTTATCGGCACATGCTCCAAGCACATGATGTGTGCATCTACTTTAAAAAAAGTGGGCTTGCTGGCGCTTCAGGCGGCATGGGCCGTAGAAGGTGAGCCCCCCCCGCCCCCCGCCCCCTGAACATGCCGAGCTTTTCCGACTGCTGGCGAGCAGCTCGCTGAGCAGTTTTTTTCAACCCTCAGTCTTTCGCGCGCACGCCACATCACCTGGGTGTATTTTCTCCGCACATCGTGTCCTGAAAACCGTCAACCCATCGCATTGATCAGCCTCGATGCCGCTAGAAAGCAACAGGCGGCAAGGCTTTCATCATCCCCCCCCCCCCCCCCCNCACACACACACACAACATGCAAGGTCAATGACCTAACAACTACGGCATGCACGACTAGGAGTACACCCTTCCCCACCCCCCCAACAATACCCAACACACGCCTTTTTAGAGAGCCACGATCGACACAAATGTTGCACTCACCACGCTCAGCCCCCGAAACGTGGTTTACCAGGTTGCTTCCCGGGAAACGCGCCGTCGTACGTGTCCGAGGTCGGAGTGGGGGCAAACACGACAACAACGACGCAGGCGCCGCAGGCGCCGCCCCCTCCACCGCGGCAACAGCATGGCACGCTGGAACCAGCGCCGGATGAGAAGGAGCAGAGGGAAAGCACGCACGGGGGAGGGGGGGCAGCGTGGGCGGCGGGAGGGGGGATGCCTAGGACGGGGTCACGGATGCTCTGGAGGTGGTTCGCCACGGGGAGCAGGACCGGGGAGAGAGCGCAAAATCGGGCCGGGGGCCGGGGGGAGGGCGATGAGAGAGGTCTGGCGACGCCTTTCGTAACCACGCTGCAGGAGAACGCTACCGGGGCGGCGTCAGACACGGGTCAGTGGAGAGGGGCAGGGGGGGAGTTCGGGTTGTCGGCGGACTGGCGGGAGGCACTCTCGGTGCCCGGCGGCGGCGACGACGAGGGGGCGGGGGCGGGGGAGGGCTTGAGAGGAGGAGGCGCCTGCTTGGCCGAGAAGAAACAGGCGGAGGTGCGGGAGATCTTGGAGAAGAGAGGGACCGCCTCGACGACGACAAACCGGGTGTGTGCGTGTGTGTGTGTGTGTGTTTTTTTTGCCGTCGACCACGCTAACCAACTGACCAATGAACAGACGTCAGCCTTACTGCGGCTAAGAGCGCGGGGGGGGGGCGGGGGGGGGGGGCAGGAACCATTTATTCCTTTGTCTGTTGTGTCATNGGGGGGGCGGGGGGGTGGGGCAGGAACCATTTATTCCTTTGTCTGTTGTGTCATCGTGGCGACACACACGCTCTCTACCCAATCACCAATCTTCCCGGTTTTCGGTGGTGCTGCTGTAGCCGGTTTTGCCTTCATGCCTTCATGGGCGTGCGTTTTTGTCGCCGCCGAAACACCGGATATGCGATTGGGGGATTGGTCGAGAGAGGGCACCAACCAAGTCGCAGCCCTAGAGCACTTTCCCAAAAGACGCGAGAGATGTTTTCTTCTCGCCGCGTTTTTCTTTTTTTTTCGGTTCCCGGTTAGTGTAACTGCAGACCAGCACGGGACAGTTTCGCGCGTGCTTCTGGGGTTTTGCGTGTGGGCGCAAGCCTGCAACAACGTTGGTCCCAGCTCCCATATCTCTTGGGGGGTGGGGGGGGGCGTACTCTTATGTTTTGCATGCCTTAGCGGTTAGACCATTGACCACGCGTCCTCGAGCGGACGGAGCATTGTTCCCACAGGACCGATCACCGATGGCCAATCGTTCCTTTCTACTTTGCCAAAGGTGGCTCAATAATGTCTTCCCTAGTCTGTCTATCCTAACGATATCCCTTCCCACCTTTTCAACCCACCTCCTATGCCCCACTACAGCTACCGTCCTTTCCTCTCTATTCCATGCCTCAAACATCTCCCTGTACCTCCCATCTATTTTTCCCAGCTCAGTCACGTACACTTCCCTCTCCTTCTTGTACAACGGACATTCCGCTACTACATGAACACGGCCTTCGCATTCGAAGCCGCAATCACATTTGAACTCGTCGTCTTCGTCGTCTACCGTCCTTTGTCTTCGTCGACGTTCTCGAAGGCTTAT